GTGTTACATGGTGCAAGCAGTGGTATGTCTCCACAGGTTCAAGCTCGAAATCAGCAACTTCCTGGGTCTGCGGTGGTATGTAAATATTGTATCAATGTTGCGTCTACTCCCTTGTAGAATTTTACTGTCAAGCTAATTATTTACTGGCTTATGTGTGTTTAGGATATGAAAAGTGACATCAACACTGTGCTCACTCCCAGAACTGCTGTTCCAGAAGGGTCTTTGATTGGAATTCCTGGTAGGTTTTCGATCCCGAAGATATTAATTTCAGTAGGTCAAGCGTGTCAAATGTAGTAATAGTATTAAAAGCTTGTTTCTGAGATTAGTGTTTGTTTCCTGTTTCAGGTTCAAACCAAGGCAACAACCTTACTCTTAAAGGGTGGCCACTCACAGTAAGATTCATCTATTCATTTGTTTTACTGGCTCATTCTCTCTTTTTTGTTCATTTTTGACTGTTGATTTGTTTCCTGATTTAGGGATTTGAGCAGCTTCGTTCTGGTATTCTTCAGCCGCAAAAACCATTTATGCAGTCTCCGCAGTCTTATCACAACCTCAACATCTTGAGTCCGCAACATCAGCAACAGTTCATGATGGCTCAACAACAGAATCTAAATTCACAATCTGTCAATGAAGAGAACCGAAGACTGAAAATGCTATTAACCAACCGGAGCATGAACCTCGGAAAGGATGGCCTTGGGGGTGGTCCTGTGGGGGATGTGCTACCTAATGTTGGATCGTCTTTGCAACCTGGTGGCTCTCTTTTGCCTCGTGGAGACACTGACATGCTACTAAAGGTATGCCTTGTCTTATCTTTTACAAATCTTAACTTAAATATTGTACAATAGCTTCTCTGTAGTTGAGTATTTTTTGAATTAGATTGTTGAGTATTTTTTGATAAATTGGAAGAAGATATAGTAATCTCTGCTCATTTACAAAAGGCGATTGCGTTAATAAATGTGTATGCTTTGTAGTTAAAGATGGCTCTTTTACAGCAGCAGCAGCAGGGTGGTGGAAATCTAGCACAGCCACAGTCACTTAATCAGCACTCCCTTTCTAATCAGCAATCACAAAGTTCAAATCACAACATTCATCAACAAGATAAACTGGGAGGGGCTGGTAGTATTACGATGGATGCTAGCATGTCGAACTCTTTCAGAGGAAATGAACAGGTCTATTCTTAGATTCATGTTTCAGGGATCTCTGTGACATAAAATGTTAGTTTCTGGTGAGTCTGAGGTTGATTATTTTTGCATTTAATTGAAAGGTATTGAAGAATCAAACTGGGCGGAAAAGAAAGCAACCGGTTTCGTCTTCCGGGCCAGCTAATAGTACAGGAACAGCCAACACTACGGGACCATCACCGAGCTCAGCACCTTCTACACCTTCAACTCATACTCCTGGAGATGCGGTTTCTATGCCTAATCTGCCTCATGGTGGTGGTTCCTCTAAACCAGTAATTATGTTTGGCACTGAGGGGACTGGGACTCTTACATCCCCATCAAATCAGCTGGTGAGTACCTTTAAAACTGTTAATGGGACGGGAAAAATCAATATATCATCAAATTATTGACGATTTTGCAGGCTGATATGGATCGATTTGTGGAAGATGGGTCACTAGACGACAACGTTGAGTCCTTTTTATCCCATGAGGGTGATCAACGAGACACTGTTGGACGGTGTATGGATGTTAGTAAAGGTGTGTGTTTTTTTAGCCCCCACGCTTAACATTATTCAACAATAACAACAATATTTCTCAGTCATGACAATGATGCCCTCTTTCACCAGGATTCACTTTTACTGAAGTGAATTCAGTACGTGCGAGCACAAGCAAAGTTACCAGTTGCCACTTCTCATTGGATGGAAAGTTGCTTGCTAGTGCCGGACATGACAAAAAGGTAAAAGCCAGGAATCATATCATTTAAGTCTTATGTGCGTTTCTGAAACTTAATAGCATCTTTTGGCTTTGGTCCCTTTTTTGCAGGCTGTACTATGGCATACTGACACTATGAAGCCTAAGACCACCCTTGAGGAGCACACGGCTATGATAACAGATGTTCGTTTTAGTCCGAACCTGCCTCGGCTTGCAACTTCTTCATTTGACAAAACTGTCAGGGTTTGGGATGCTGATAATGTAAGTTGGAAGGCTGATGATTTCTCCATATGAATTATGTTTATTTATTCCATTTTTGTGATCTCTTAAGGGTTTGTGCATCTACTTTTGCAGAAAGGTTATTCCCTTCGAAATTTCATCGGACATTCTTCTATGGTTACGTCACTTGACTTCCATCCCAACAAGGATGATCTCATATGTTCCTGTGACAATGACGGCGAGATAAGATACTGGAGCATCAACAATGGAACTTGCTCAAGAGTGTACAAGGTAAAGATCTTTTTTTTGTCTCTTCAAATCCGACATTATCATGTTGCTTTTATTAGCAAATCCATACACTTTTGATTGTTTTTTTTGTACAGGGTGGTAGCACTCAGACGAGGTTCCAACCACGTGTTGGAAAGTATCTGGCTGCTTCGTCAGCAAATGTTGTATCTGTACTAGATGTTGAAACACAAGCTTGTCGACACTCTTTGCAGGTTTAGTTTTCAGACTTTTTTTTTTGTCGATATTGTGTGATAGATGCTTTTACTAGCCACTAAGAGAGCGACTGAATACAAACAAAAACGCTGTTTACTTGTTCCTCTGAACAGGGCCATACTAGTCAGATAAACTCGGTCTGCTGGGATTCTTCTGGTGACTTCTTGGCAACGGTTAGTGAAGATATGGTGAAAGTTTGGACGTTCGGGACGGGTAATGAAGGAGAATGTGTTCATGAGCTAAGCTGCAATGGAAGCAAGTTCCAGTCTTGTGTTTTCCATCCGACTTACCCTTCTCTACTCGTAGTTGGTGGTTACCAGGTAAAAAACTTGATGTCATTACTCATGTGCGTGTTGAATAAATAGTCATTTTGATTAAAAAAATCTGAACTGTTCAATCTTTGTGTGTGCAGTCTTTAGAACTGTGGAACATGTCACAGAACAAGACGATGACATTGGCTGCTCACGATGGGTTGATTGCGTCATTGGCTGTTTCAACTGCAACGGGATTGGTTGCATCAGCTAGTCACGACAAGCTTGTGAAGCTGTGGAAGTGAGAGAAGAGGACATGTTTGTTTATGTTCTAGGTGTTATTTTTCTTAAGGAGGGGGTGTTCTTTTAACCTTTGTAGCTCTTTTCTCAGACTATTTCATCTTCCATCTCAAGATAGTCTTTCTCCAGATGGTTAAACAATGTTGATGTTGTATGATCCGACCTAATTGGAAACTGTTGTAATCTTAGTTTCTTAATACATGAAAGTTGTATGCCATCTAAACTATTAGAAAAAGGTTTACAAATGAGAAATACTTTTTAGTTTTCTTTCAAAAATTATAATCTTATGTTATTGGAATTAAAAAATTAAAACATGTACAACAGTTTTGATTAATGCTTACTTATAATTTTGCTGGTCCGCTAGAAATTTGTTTTCGTCAGCCCATTAAGAATTTTGTTGGCCTGTTATATAGTTTCGTTAGCCCATACGTATATCAAACCAATTTTCATAAATGGCCAATGTTACTAAATGTCATATTAACTTTTATATTAAAAATGTATACACTATACTTTAGTTTATATTTATCTTTGATTTTTTTTTATATGATAAAGTTTGAAATACATATTTGATATAAAAAATATATATACAATTGAAATTGTTGACAATAAATATAATTTAAATTAATACAATCTATAGAGAAGAAAATTGGCAGAACCATATATTAATACATAGTTACAATTTTGACCCGATTTAATTGTCTAAATAATCAACACTCATACAATAAAAAAATATATAACACAATACAAAAATATGAAAGTAATTTATGGTATAAATAATAAACTAAAATTTAACAAATGAAATCATTATATAAAACTATTAATTTTTTGTGTTTTGAAATGTTAATATAACTAGAAAATAAAAATTTGTGCATACACGCAAGTCGAAATCTAATTTATTTATTTAAAACACAACGACAGAATTTTAAATCCGATAAATTTTAAAAAATTAATGAAATACATAATTGAATAACTAAGAATTTGGTGGAAACTTCAATTCTTTCAAACTGTATTGAATTTCTAAACTGAAGACACAAACCTTAGTTTGTTTTGGTTACAGCTAAACACTTTGAGATGTAAAATCTCACAGCCATCAAAGTAAATACAAACATGAAAGTTGTGAACATCGTTTATTATTTTATAAAAGGATAATAACATCTCCAAAATGATGTCATAACTCTATAAAAATGTTATTTTACTCAACTATAGTAGTGTTATGCTGTTTTTTTTTGTTAGATGGTTACACTAAATATAATATGACATTGTAAAGACATAATATTTCTTGAAAACAAAATTTAAGCAATTTAATTAAATATTTTCTTAAATTGATTAAAAACCCAAGTAATTAGCAAACAAACATAAAAGGTGTATACAAAAAAAATAATTTTGAAAGCACAAGATAAAACTAACATAATAATCTACTAGCTTGGAAAAACTATTTTCAACTCCACCAACAAGTTTGACGTGAAAGGTAAAAAAACTTCACAAAGATAAATTATAATGTGGAATATAATCTTTTTGATCATTTGACGACATGTGATTTTAACCTTTAAACTTGTTTTCTTCGAAATGGTTATTTTTTTAGCTTGTTTTTTCTTGATATCGAGATATATGATAGTGTGAGTGACTTATATTGGTTCTCCTACCATTATTTTAGAAGTTACAACTGATTATAATTTTTGGATTTGACATATATATATCTTGGTTCGTATAGATCTATTAGTGACATTAATGTGTTAGTGGCATTTATCTATTTTTTTAGTATAATATTTGGTGTTGCGGTTAGAAAATGAAAAATTGATACTAAAATTATATTAAAATGGTTTAGTTTTTTTATACTAAAATAGAATTTTGGTTGGAAATGGCACTGCATCTGCGTCAAGGGCTGAAAGAGTCTGTCTTTCTCTCAATTGTGTTTGCATCCGTCGTTTCTGCGATCGTTACAGATTGACGGATTATAAAGGGACACTCTTTCTCCTTCCTTTGAACGAATCCATCTGAAGATCACGGTTAGTTAGCTAGTGATGGGAAAAGAAGAGGTTAGCACGAATTGGAGTTTGTGTATTTTGATGAAAGAACCAAACTTTTTTGAAAAAGTTCGATGCTTTGTTTGATCTGTTAAGAATTTAGGCAAATTCTGATAGTACTCTGTATTCACAGGTTTGTTCTTCAGGGGATATGGTGACAAATCTGAAGACGTCCATAAGAGAATTGAGTGCGAAAGTGATGGAGCAGGTGCTCTTCTTAGTCTTTCTTACGCTGGTTTTCTCGATTTGACATTGATAGTTATTTTACTTTGTTGCTGTTTTATAACTTAGAATCAGAGGAAATGTGATGTTAAGGATAAGTTGCAGCAGTTGCGAGAAAGAATAAACGCTCAAGGTGTGGATGATGTTTCAGTCCAGGAGGAGTTGTTACCTCTTTTGAGATCGTTTAAGGTGAATGAAGTGTTTTCTGATTTGTGAGTAGCTTTTCAATGTGGTGAAACTCAATATTTGTAGGTGTTTTCAGGAATTAGAAAAACAGGAATCTGAAGTCCGGTCTAATTGTGATGCTAAGCGTTCTGCGTTAGAAGATGCAGTTTGTGATTTGGAGGAGAGAGTCACAAAGGGTGAGATTCCAGAGGAAGATTTAGATGCTTTGTTGGTTGAATCTCTGGATCATCTGACTTCCACAAAGAAGGTACTCTTTCATTGCTATACATCTAAGATGAGATCATCTAGGTTTCTCCAATGTTTTCCGAAGAAGGTTATGGTTGCTTCCCCCTCGTTTCATTGTAGGAGCTTCCAGCAACGCTGAGAGAGATAGTGTCTCTGAAGCGAAAGATTGATGATGTACCATGCCAATCTGAACTTCTCCAGTATGGTCTCCTTCCACTACTTCGTACTTGCTTCATAGATGATGTTTTGTTTTGTTTTTTTTTTTTTTTTTTGAATTGGATAAATGATGTTTTGTATTTAGCACTTTGTATTAGTGTGTACTGCTTGGCGTTGAAACTCTTCCATCTTAAACAATGAATCTGATATAAACCCCACTTCCTGTATTTTGATGAGCATGTTTTAAAGATATGGAAGTATCATGTCAAGAGTCAAATTGCTTTGCCTCTAGCTTTTAGGAATCTAGTTTTACTATGGCTCGTTTCCCTGTTGCTGTACTTACTGTCCTCTAAAGTCCACTCTCTCATTCGGTGCAGATATGAAAGAAGATTCTCAGAGCTTAATGTTTGTATTCAGGTTCGGATTCTCAGATTTATGCTTGCCTTGTTGCTTTGCGGTTTTGTTTCATGGTTGAAAATGAACTTGCAAGCTTATTGATTGACGAACCTTTTTTTTTTACTATAAACAGGAGAAGCTTCAACAGACTAGGAAGCTCTATGGGACATACAATGCTCTTTTAGAAATAAAAGACTTGATGCTAAAGGAGATATCATTACTTAATTCAATAGGTTCACAGGTACAACATGCATTATTGTTTAGTTAGTTTCTGTGTGTTTAGCATCAAAACTCTACATTTCTTCTTTTTTGTATATCTCTTGGTGACTTAAAAGCTTTCATTCATACCATTCGTCTTTGTTAACCTTTTTCTTGAGTGTAGTTTCAAGATGTGATTGGTACTCCTGCTGGGCGCATGAAGCTAATTGATTCAATGGAAGGAGTTATGAAAGGAATCCAACAGGTTATCTGAATTGTATTCATTTAGCTGCATGTTTTGAGGTTACATAACCTTTTGCTTCATGATTTCTAGTAACAAATTCTTTTTCCTAAAGTGCAGAAGCTAGGAAAGGTACAACTTGGGCTTCAAGAAGAGCAGAGACGCTGTGATACTTCAAAAGAAAAGTATACTGCTGCAGCTGCAGAACAAAGAAAATGCTATACTGTACAAAGAGCCTTCCAGGTTAGCACACACAAAAGAAGAAACAATTGATACTAATAAAAGTTTTTAACTCCTCAGAGCCATCTACTTACTTATATATAGTGCCAAATTTCTCAATCGCAGGAAGAAGAATGCACTAAAAATAACAGGCTGAGGAGTCAAGTCTCTGCTCTAAGCAACACCTCCGTCTCGAAAGAAGGGATTGAATTGAACTGAAGCGACTTCCTTTCTGAGTTACCACCGCTAAGTAAGCAGAATTGAACCAGATTAGATTTAGACATGATTCTCTTTTGATTTTGCTGTAATATACATATGCTCATCAGCATTAGACACGGGAAAATATGAAAAAAATCTATATGCATTCAAACAACATTGGTTGAACCAATTGGGTTATATATCAGCTATGGAAAACTCTAAATCATTGAGGAAGATATGCTTGAATACAAACAGACATGTTTGTTTTTGTTTTAGGTATTATTCTTCAGGGGCTGGAAACTGTTATTGTAATCTTAGTTTTAAAATAATAACTTGGACAAATCCTAAATTCAGTTTAGGTTTCAAGCAAAAGCTTTAGAATTAAAATGAAAGTTGTAAAACGCCATATATATTTATATCCACTGTTAAGTATGAAGTGGTGTCGTTTCATTCACCGGGGTTGGGTTCGGGTTCGTAATCCATCAGTATGTGGCCTTTAAGGTAAAGTCTGCGGTATTCAACCTCCCAAAGGTGTGTGACATGGCGTACCAAGGCACGGGAAAGGAAACAAATGACTATAAAGACGAAGAAGGCAGGCAAAACTAGCTGCTGGATGGTGTAGGTTGCACCCAAAACCTTCCCAAGGACGAGAGAGAGCACGTATGGGACGATGAGAGATGCTAATAGAGTTTGTATGGCTGAGCCTATAACACTTCCAAACAACCAATTAAGAGGAAGTTGGTCGATTCCTTCTCTTTTGATCCTCTCAATCTTTTCCTTCCATGCCGTGGTTTGGAAGCAATCGATTCTATTGAACACAGTCTGAGCAAATAAAAAAAAAAAAAAAGTCTGAGTCATTAACAAAAAAACAAAAAAAAAACTCTTATTTACCTGATAGGACCAGGAGAGAAGGACTAGTAATCCAGTCAACCACTCTTGGAGTAAGGAACAGTAAACCGGGGTTTTGTGTAGCCAAACTTGATTTGGTATTATGATGAATATAAGGTCAATGAGGCGACCTAGCAATGCTGGTATGACTGATATCTGTTCATCGATTTTCACAGCAAGTTATCCATATATCTACATCTTAAGTTCTTAACCCAACAAAAAACAAAAAAAAAAACTGTGATGAGTAGTTCTCTTACCCAAATAGAGAAGAAGAGGATATTACGTTTCCACAAAAATTGGTTGCTGCGGATCCGGTTGTGAATAAAGACAAAGCATCTCCATAATTTACTGTAATCAACATAGGCGGCAACACACACAAACATTAGAAATATAATAACAGGATGAGGAGGAGGAGGAGGAGGAGGAAAAAGAGTCGATTCTCCTTCCATTTTCGTTGGTTTGATGATATTTAGGGTTTTGAAGAATTCTTTCTAGTTGTATTACATTCATGTATTTTAATAGAGTTTAAATCTAAATACAATCCTTTATTATTCAAATGATGATTTAAATTTAGTTTTACAAATCTAGTGTTATTCAATGAATGTTTTAAATTTAGTTTTTAAAATTTAGTGTTATTCAATGAATGATTTAAATTTAGTTTTTAAAATCTAGTGTTATTACACTTTTAAAATTTTTAAAATTCTTTGTATTTTGAATTGATTTCAAATCATTTCCTATGGATTTTCATGAATAACTAACTGAATTCAAAATCCAAGGCATATTACAAAGATTTTAGAATCTATTAACTTATATTTTTTAAAAAATTTATATTTTAATGGATTACAAAACATTAATAATTGATTTAAAAACACTTATTAATAACCGATGTTATTTACTTTTTATTTTTGTGGACAATTTGGATGTTTTTTTTTTGGATTTTTAATGTAAAAACCCCCTCAAATTAAGTTTATTTAGGGTAAAAAAACCTAATTTATAGATTTAACAGAAAATCCCCCAACCTAAATTAGCTTAATGAATCAGACCCTCCGTTACTTTTCAGGATCTGTTTGAATACAATCCTAGAAAGGCATAGAACATTGTAAGTCTGAACAAATAAACAGCTTAGAAGAAACGCCACATTCTATTATCTCTCTCTCACATTCAGACGTAATCATGTGGCTTCTTTTCAGGATCTCTGGTATCTCGTCTCCTTGAGACGATACTTCCTTGATGTTATCTACCTGCTAAACAAAGGCAAAAAAAGATTCAAACCTGACACAAAACCAAAAACAAATAGAAAACTCTGTATCCTCCTCATTTTGTAAAGTGACAATGCAACATGCGACCTGTTTTATTTGTTTTATCAAGAAGTCACCTGGTTGTGTAAAGATCCTGTGACGACAGGCATTAGATGTGTCCTGATGAACCGGCCTTGCACAAATCTCCGGAGCCAGAAACAAATCCGTAGACCATGAGTCTTCAGTTTATGAGACAAATCCGTAGACCATGAGCCTCCGCTTGATCCTGCCAATGCCATTATAACATCTGCCTGCAACAAAAAAAAAAAAAAACATAATGTTCATATAATTTGAATATGAAAGTGTTAAAGCAAGAGAGAGAGAGAGAGGAATATTACTTTGTTTGGGTGAACATCATCAAAGACATGAGCTTGACCACCATAGAAGATAGTCATCTGCTTAGTACTCGAAGTCAGCTCTTTCCGATGATTCCCTGTATAGCAAATACCAATAAAAAAAAAAAAATGAATTGAAGACAAAGCATCAAAGGACTAGAGGCATTCACTAGAAGCTAACTGAAGGGGTTAAACAACATTCGACTTTGCTCGGGTTTGGCATTGTAAAAAAATTTCTAGATCGGATAGTATATTGGTTTTAGTATTTGTTTTGATTCAAAAGTTTACGTATATCCAAATTTTTTGGATCAAATCCAACAAATAATGAATGGAATCAAATTTAACGAATCAAATGCAAAGCCCTAATTAATGGGCCAACAACAGATTAAAAAATAAAAGCCTCATAACTCGTAGAAAAACCAAGTCCACATATCTCGCGGTTCGCAGTTTTATCTCTTTTCAAACGAGAATCCAATCGCCGGAGATCGGAAAAGCTCCAAACGGGAAGTAATGGCTTCGCTCGGTTTCAACCTCCGATTCCCCTTCTCCGACGTGAGAATTCAACAAGTTTCCGCAAACGGAAGACCTCGCGTTATCTCCTGTAGCTCTTCTTCGTCTTCACAAGCATCATCTCCGCAGGGGATTTCGACGTCTCCTGAGATAGAGCTCGAGTTCTTCGGTGTAACTCTCGGTGCGATATTATCGTTAAGTTATGATCCGATTCGTGTTTTTTGAAAACTCTTTATTTGGTTTTGTTATTTGCAGCCGAAGCCTGGGAGCGACGGGACGTATCCGAGGGATAAAGCGAAAGCTGTGAGCGGGGAGAAGCTTTTGAGAAGTATTATGAATGATAATAAGATCGAGCTTTACGCTACTTACGTGAGTTTTTTAAACTACTCGCTTTACTTATCAATGATGTTAATTACTGATATGAGGAACTTAGAGGTTAGCTCTTATGTTGATTAACGTTTTGAAATGTCTCTTTGTTTACTTAGGGAAAAGTGATGAATTGTGGTGGTGGAGGAAGCTGTGGAACTTGCATTGTTGAGGCAAGTCAACTTCTTGTGTCTCTTATGTTTTTATTGTCTGTTTTTGGTTTCTGGATTATATGCATTTGAGCTCTGCTGCTATAGAGTTGAAGATATAATGAAGTAGATGGATGAGTTTTAGTAGCTGTTTTCATTTTTGAGTTTGTATTTGTTTTGTTTTGATTAGCAATACTCAAGCAAGAAAATCGCATTTGGTATTTTGCTTATGTGTGCAGATTCTTGATGGAAGAGAGCTACTGAACGAGAGAACAGATGCAGAAAACCGGTACCTAAAGAAGGTTAGTTTTTCATTAATCTTAGATATGAAAATTCAGACTAAGACAAGTACTTGAGTTGTTCTTAAGGCCCTTGTTTGTTGGTACTGGTGCAGAAGCCTGAATCTTGGAGATTGGCATGCCAAACAATAGTAGGGAACAAAGAAAACTCAGGGAAGGTACCCTACCTACCTTGAAAGCCTAAATTATTTCAAACATCAAACTCTTGTGATGATGTTTCTCATTGAGATCTATATCACATTTGGTTTTGTAGGTTGTGGTTCAGCGGATTCCGCAGTGGAAGAAGTGAATTCCCACGCAAATGTAAGAGTTCTCTAGCATCGTATTGAAGAGAAAGCCATATACTAGTTTTATGTTTGTATATCTTCCAAAAAGCTAGTCTTCCAACTAGAAACTGGAAAAGCTTTTCCTTGTAGATGGCAATAGTCATATACATATGATAGATAAACTTATGGACTATGGTGGGGTTTAAGCGTTTGAAAAATTAAATATAACAATGGTTTATTAGGTGTTACAAAAAAAAAAAATGGTTTATTAGGATTTGATTAAAAGAAACAATGGCTTCGTAGGAAACAAGAAGATTGAAATCATGCCAAATTAGGAAGGATATACATCATTCTTAACATTCAAGATTCTTAATGGATACGTCCCCCCTAAAAATAAATGTCTTTGACCAAATTAAATTAGACCATCTACTCTGTATCCCTCTCTCTCAAAGCTAACTGCAAACATAAACACAAGATATAAAAATACATAGCTGGTGTTGTATCAAGAGAACCAGTTTTTCCAGCTCGGAAATACAACTAATAGTGTCAAGCTTGACGATATATATCACCTAACAGAAACCTCATAACCGGAAAAAAACAGCCAGGACGTAATCTTTTTTCCTCATTTATTACATTTTCTTGTTGAGAAAGAAACAAAAAGCAAAGGGCCAAAGAGAGCCATCACTATCCCTCTGCATCATCATCCTCCTCCTGTAATATTTTACATTATTTTCTTTACTTTTCTTTTTGTTTTGTGTGATTGCTGTTTCGCTCCCAAAATTTAATATCCAGAAAATATCTTATATAATTTTTTTAATATCCCCTCTTGTTGATCGGTGAGCAGAAAATAATAATAAAAAATCCACAAAAGGAATTGAAAGAAGAACACTACTCCGATCAACAACGACAAGAACAAGGAAGGGATTTTCAATAGCTGCAAAAGTTGACTCTTCTTCTTCTTCTCCCTAAATTGGATTCTGGGTTTTCTCTTCTTAGGAAAAAGTCAGCAGATTTGTTCTTAATTTCTCGTGACAATCAATTTTCAGGTGCGGAAAATTAGCCCTTTTTTTGTTAAATCTATCGAATTTGATCCAATTCTTGTTCTATCTAGGGTTTTGCTATTTGCGATCTTGAATTTTTCCGCCCTAATTCCATGGTTTCAATCGATTTTGTGTTGTGGGTTTTGGTTTTGCAGGACATCGAATTTAAACTTCCATGGTGCGTTATGCACAAAAACCCTAAATGGGTGTGTCTCTTCTGAACCAAAAACATCGTAAAGCTCAAACCTTTTCTACATTCATGGAACGTTCATCATCAGATACTCAACCTCCCAACGACCACCACATCATTGACATTCCATCATCCTCTTCTCACGATAGAATCTCCAACGTCTTAGAGCCTCTGCAACACGAAGATGAGAGACCTTCCACTACTCCTCCCATGTCTGTTCCTCAGCCAGCTACAGTTTCTTCGTCTTCCTCCTCATCTATGAGGTCAAATCCTAGAAGCAGCAACCGTCGTAGAAGAAGTCCTTTGAATTCTGGTCTTTGGATCTCCATTGAGCTGTTGCTCACTCTTGGCCAGATCATTGCAGCTATTGTTGTTTTGTCTTTGTCTAAACATGAGCATCCACGTGCTCCTTTGTTTGCTTGGATCGTTGGTTATGCCTGTGGATGCGTTGCGACGCTCCCGCTTTTGTATTGGAGATATTATCATTCAAATCAGGCTTCTGAACAGGAGAATGGTCAGCATCGTCCTAATCTTAACGTTGCGGCTGGACCGTTTGCGTTTTCGATATCTAGGACTGCTGAAGGAGATGGTAGACAGGGTAGCAACGCACCTTCTCGGAGTAGATATCATGGGTTCATAAGTGCTGCTAGGTAAAATGTCTTAGTGTTCTTACATGATTTGTTTCAACCAGAAGAGATTTTTGCATTCTGAAATTGAGTGTTTTAGATGTCTCTTCTTTGAATCTCTTTATGTGTTGATGATTACTGACTTGAGTCTTTGGTTTGGGCTTTTTCAGGCTTAAGGTTATTGTGGAATACTTCAAAATGGCACTGGATTGCTTCTTTGCGGTGTGGTTTGTGGTAGGTAATGTGTGGATATTCGGAGGGCATTCATCTGCAGCTGAGGCTCCTAACTTGTACAGGTACTATTTTTATTTGTAATTCCAAATTTTCACAAAAAAACCTTGGCTGCATATTGTCAAAGACTCGGTTCATTTATTTGTCTTTATATGTTTTTTTTTTGTAGGTTATGCTTAGTGTTTCTTACCTTTAGCTGTATTGGCTACGCCATGCCTTTCATCCTCTGCACAACAATATGTTGCTGCTTGCCGTGCATTATCTCAATTCTCGGATACAGAGAAGATTTAACTCAACCCAGAGGCGCCACACCTGAATCTATAAATGCATTGCCGACGCATAAGTTTAAGTTGAAGAAAAGTAGAAGTAGTAGCGATGACAATGGGTCAAGTACTGGCGAAGGTGGAGTTGTGGCAGCTGGAACAGATAAGGAACGTGCGATTTCAGGAGAGGACGCTGTGAGTTGCTTACATTTTCACTCTACATATACTCACAGATGGAATCAAGTCTCTGAATAGTTAACAATTGTTTGCAGGTGTGCTGCATTTGCTTAGCGAAATATGCAAATAACGAAGAGTTGAGAGAGCTACCATGTTCACACTTCTTCCACAAAGATTGCGTTGACAAATGGCTTAAGATCAATGCCAGTTGCCCTCTTTGCAAGAGTGAAGTTGGGGAGAAGAACTCTGATTTGACAAGCCAAGGGGTCTTAAACTCGCTCTCGTCTGGGGAGAATGATAACAATCAACAACCGCAACAACCGCAACAACAACAACAACAACAGCAGCGGAATGAACCACATAGAGCTGATAACGGTTTGGCCCACAGCGTTATCTAGATGTGTGACATTTGCTCGATGTTGGACAAAACAGTCGACGAAAGGCGTTTATGCGTTGTACCTACACATGATATGTTTTCGTCACAGAGTCTCACTGTGAAGAAAGGTGAAGGAAGAAACCGGCGAGGAAGCTCGTACGGTGTAAATGCTTTTTTTGCGTTTGTAGTTTTGAAACCCTCTAAACACATAGGAGAGTTCAAGATTCAGTGATTGAGTTTGAGTGTGTGCCAAATACTTTGTTTTTTTCTTACTTTATCCTCTGAAATTATTACGAGCTGAACCTTCATACGAGAGCTAGGGTTCTTTCGATTCCTTGTGCAGCTGTATTGCCTTGTGAAGAGAGACTCTCGGCTCAATATCAAAATATCTTATATAGAAACCTTATACTGGACCTTGAAAATTATGAATTCAACGTTCTTATTATGTTCTTTTTGTTCCTAAAAATCATTAGAGTGTCACTCTGTTTTGCGAAATCAGTGTTATAATAGGGCCATAGCTTTGCCTTTAGAAAGAGGGCTCACACAGTCAAAAAAATTAACTTTTTAAAACTTAAACATCACATCTTGAAGCATATGTTTTCTAGAACGGTCTAAAGGAAGCAAAAGTGCCCTGAAGTTGTATCATTAAAGACTGAAAAGATATGCCCCTTTCTGATTGAGCACCCTAGGCGTTTTCTGCAGATAGAGTTTCATGCACATACGTGCCAACTGATTTGAACCATCGCAGTAGGTTACGATGATCCTTAACATAAAGCCAAGCCTGAAGAAACGGGAAGAGACTCTCGTTCACACCTCGCTCCTCTAGGAAGCTATGGAATACATCTCTCATTTTCTCATCGAGCTCTCTGTCAAAACAATTAATTGTCAATAAAAAAAAAAGCTTTGCTATATCAACTGTGAGTCCAGTGTTTTATAAACAGAATGCTGAACTAAAGGACAACCAAAGAGTAATCTTCGATTTGAACCATTCATGAGACATCAAGCTGCACTGATATATCTACATCTCCTCAATCTACAACACGTCTCTACAACTATTCTAAATTCATATTCCTCAACGTCAACCAGATATTGAGCAAAAAATAGTACAAAGTAGGGAATATTGTTTCACGAAATCATTCCTTGATTCCACAGAAGAGCTCCTAGCCAATGTCAAGCATGTAAATGAAACATAGTTGGCCTAATCACAACAACCTATTCTTCTTACTTTGAAAAATTAGTGAGACAAGACAGCTTAGAACAGAAACGAATAACTTAACATGGCTTACAGACAATCTAAAAATTCTCAAACAATATATTAGAGAACACAACTTTGGGTTGACAAATTAAGGTCAGTACATATACAAGTCAAGATCTCTATTTTCATAAACCGAATTTCAATAAACTCAAATTATTTCTAAATGAACAAAAAGGTTATAAGAGAAGTAGCTTGAAGAGTAGAACAAACTTACTCAAAAGAAGGACCAGTGTAACGAGCAGGATCATCAGACAACTCCAAATCCTCAAGCTTTGGCCTCATGGAAACAGAGTGAATACCCAACGCATCTGGGTAAAGCCCACAAAGGAAATGCAGAGACTCAGCCTGGTTTGGCTTTGACACAGCCACATGGAGGAACAGCTGATTAATCCCATCTTCATCTTCATCATCACCTCCATGAGCCAACCGCATCACGAAGAGACTAATCTCTTCATTTCCAACGGATTTCTTCAGAACAGCACCAGTTCCCTCGAGAGATCCTTTCACTATCTCGAACGGTGAAGGAGGCGTCACTTTCTGCACAAATCAATCAAAAACCCTAGGTGAGAGAGGAGCTAGGGTTTAACCAAAAAGGTTCAATCTTTAGATGAGGAACGAACCGGAGGAGGAGTCATCTTGGAGACTTCTAGGTAATGTTCTTTTAGGGAACGGAGAAGCATCGAGTCTACTGCGGTTGAGACATCGCTAGGCTTTCCACTTCCACCGCCGGATTTACTGGATAGAGCTCGTTGAATCTGACGCCGGACGGCGACGTTACCGATCACTCTTCTCAACATTTTTGCTTCTCCGTCTCAGACAAAGCGGCGAGTTGCTTTCTTCGCCGAACAAAACACTAACTTCTTTATTTATATCGCAAGACAAAAGAAAAAAAAAGAGATATTCGGTTTAGTTTTGTCGTCCAAGACGTCTCAACCGAAGTTAGATCAGTTTGGTTCGGTTTAGTTTCAGTTGGTTTTAGTTTTAGTTTGTTTAGCCACATCAGTTTGGTTCGGTTTAGGACCGGGGTGGACATTACGGTTTCGTTTGAGTTGGTTTTAGTGATGGTTAAGCATAGTTCGGTCTTAAACAGATTTCTTCTTTTTTTATCCCCAAAAAAAAACAGATTTCTTTAGAATCTGAATTATGATGGGTGTTAGTGTTACTAAGTACGAAGATAAACAAGACGAACGTGTTATATGTATGGTACAAACGTTTTGTTGTGTATATTTTTTTTAAAAATGTTGCAAAACATTCCACCATTAGAGGATTCGCAATCAAATAATGCACCTTGATAGGATCTGATGGCAGAGAGTAGAGAGGACACAAAGATAATCCAATAGAAAGAAAGAGCAAAAAGTTCAAAAGAGAAAGCTTATCTTGTTTCATGTACCCATTGTATAAAACATAATTCAAAAAGACCAAAGTCATATGTCTCTAAAAGTACTCTCTGATCCCAACCACATTCCCTGCAAAAAGGAGGGAAGAAACACATGTTCATATCATCAAAACGGGGTGGGTGGGGTGATTGGTTTCATCTCACAGGCTGCTGATTGTAGTGACTCTTCTCTTTCTTCTTCTTTGCTGCCTCCAGCTTTGCCTTCCTCGCAGCTGCTTCTTGTGCTGCAATTTTTGCTCCAGTATCCGTCTCCTTGCTTGATTTCTTCTTCTTCATGGAAGCCATCTTCTTTATCCGTTCTTTCATATCCATGGAAGATGAACCCTCCTCCTCCCCTTGCTCACCGGCACCAGCATCTGAGTTGCTCTTCACTTCATCCTGAGTTTCTTTTACCTCCTTCTGTTTATCCTTCTTTTTCTTCTTCTTTGAAGCCTTCGATTCTCCGGCTGTGTTCTCCTTCTTCTCTCCATTCGCTTCTTTCTTCTCTTGCTTATCTGTTAGGTATTTGCATAAAGAAGAAACTTTTATCAGTATTAGCAAATGGTTTTCTTAGCATATATAAGCAAGTGTAGAGCAGAAGTGTGTGATAATGTTAGGCAAGCTCGCGTGAATAATGTAGTACCTTGAGAGTTTTGTTGACCATTGTTGGGTACAGCTCCAAAATCAGCTAACAAAGCGTCTAACTCAGCAAGTTCCTTCTGTTTCCTCTCTTTCTTGGAAAGCTGCCTCTCTGCCTCCTTAGGTGGTGGTGCAGCAACTTCAGGAGCCGCCTTCTTCACCTCAGCCTCTGCTTCTGGATGAACTTGCGTCTCATTCTCTTCCTCCAAATCATCATCATCATCACCTTCCTCAAGTATATCCTCTTCACTCTCACTTTCCTGCCACATTAAAAATCAAACCCATCTCAATCAAAAACCCAATGAACAAATAAACAGTTACACAAACCAGGGCGCAAAACAATCTCTAACAATAAAGGTTACAATTAGATTATACGACAACCACATAACATTTTATTTAGGACAACACATAAAAATGCAAACTTTTTATCATACAACAACCATACAAAGACTAAACCATTAAGCTAAATCTTCTTAAACATACCACACGACACAACATCATATCAAAAGGAATTGACTTTTCTAACCTCAACGTGAACCTCTTTAGCATCCTCATGAGACGCATCAGAGGTACTCCACAAGGCCTTAGGAGGAGCAGTGGTAGCGAAATAGTCATCATCTTCATCATCACTATCGATATCCGCCCAAGCCTTAGCTTTAAGAGGCGTAGGAGCCCAGAAGACCTGTGGCTCAGGCTCCTTCACCGGATCTTGACGCGATGAAGAAGAGCCTTTGCTCTTATCGGACTTCTTCTTCTTCTTCCGAGTATCCAGAGCAGCGAACAAGTTTGTGTTCTGAATCGGCATCGATCCTTCGTCTCTCCTGTTTCCACCACCAAACATCTTATCTCCTCGATTCAGATGATGAGAGATATAAAGGATTGATTTTTATAAAAACCCAGAAACGGAATTGGTCAATTTCAGCTGGGAGTGTCGACGAGTGGGAGGAGGGAGATCTGATGAGCGGCGATTGTGGATAATTAGGGTCTACAGATCAGAGACGAGGAAAGGAAGAGAAGGTTGGAGGAAGCGAAGTTGTTATCGAATGGGGAGATAAATAGGATTGTCTTTTTGTCGAGTTTATTAGGGCTACTGTGGGGGAAGCTACACGACGAGAAATGAAGATTTTTTTTTTTTAATGTTATTTTGGAATGTTATCTCTCTTTATGGGTGGATCTCTAAACCGGAAAATTTGGTTTAGAAAAATCGAATCGACAATTGGAACTGAACCCTTTTATTTTGGTTTATTTAGCACAAACTGTGTGGTGAACCCTAGCTTAGTCAGGTACGTCAAGTCCGGCCCAAAACTTGAAAAGTCTGCAAATATTTTAGTTCGGTTCCAAAAACTTTAAGATCTTAGAGAGAGTCTTCTATAGTGTAAATTACCCTCTACCGAAACTACAGTAGGACGGTTTCAACTTAGATTAGTGTAAAATATGATATAAATCGATAAAATAATAAGATAATAATATTTTTAAAACTTTCATGTAAATATATGGTTCCACCAAAATCATAAATTAATAATCTAGCTATATATAATTTTATATAAGTACAATCTAACATTTTATTGTTGACTTTTTATTTACTATAATTTTTTAACATTTCAATTTATTTTGATAATATTTAGTTAAGGGTTTTATATTTATTATAAAAATAATTTTATTTTTTAAACATTTCAATATATATTTTGATAATATTTAGTTAAATTATATCGAAAACCATGTAACAATTCTGTGAACCATAAAAATATAAACCAAATAAGATAATAAAACAATATAAAAGTTAAATTTTAAAAATTTAAATAATATACATATGCTAAAATCAAATATATATTTTATTTTATAAATAAAAATAGAAAAAGATACTAAAAATCTAAATAAGAAAACTTTCATAAATTAATATCTCTATAAATTTATAAAATTTCAAACTCTCAATATTATTAATTTATTGATATCTCTATAATATTATTTGAGAAGTCACTTTCCTAGGTGTCGCGCTCACGTTAACTCTCACGCTGGTTGATTACTATGATACCCCTAATGAATTAAAAATATATTTAAATATTATTATTTCCTTTTTAAAATCTTCCAAATAACAATATAAAATAAAAAAGAAACATTTATAAAATTTATAAACTTGTAAAACGAAAAAATAAGTATATATATAATACAGTTTCATAAAAAAAGGAAAGTTTACAATATAGTAATATTTAACTTAAATATATTTTTAAATAACAAAAATTATAATTTTAAGTAATAAAATACTTTATATCTATATCTTCTTAGATGAAAAAAACATTTGTATATAAGGTGTTTTCATAAAAAAAGTTCATACAAATAGTCTTGATATTAGAAAAAGAAATATTTTTTCTTTAAAAAACATAATTTAAACAATAAAAAATATATTTTCAAAGTAATTATTTTTTGATATATCTATCTATTTTATTAGATGATTACATAAAATAATTAAGTAACATAAACTGATATATGTTTAATTGACAAAAAAAATTATAATAATTAGTATTATTGAAATAGTTTTTTAGTATATTTATTTGATTGTAATATCTTACAATTACAGCAAAAAATATAAATTATATTATACTTATATATAATTTCTCAAAAACAATTACATTTCTACTGCATATTTTAATAGATGTTAAAAAAAAACTAACAATAAATTTAATAAGAAACATCTTTTGATCAAATAACTACAATTCTTTTAAAATATCATAACACTATAATTTAACGAGGTAGATATATTATATTTTAATAGTTAAAATTATATGTTTTCTTAATAACTCTTTTGATGTTTAATTTTCTATTGTCATGTTTGTGGAATTTAATATAACCATAATCAAATACTTAAGCAAATCAGAATTCCTTATTTTTAAAATTATTTAAAATTTATAAAATATTTTAATTATTGTAAATATTGATATGTGTTCATAAGCTTTCAAAATTTTATTATTACTTATTAAATTTAGAATCATACACTTTAGTTTTTACTTTTTTCGTTCTAAGCACAAAAAATCTTAAAATACATAATCTTACTAAGATATACTTATATTTCATAGATAACAACCAACATAAATGTAAATAAAATAATTAATCAAAAAATTAATATATTTAGAATAAAAAAAGATTATAGTTGAATTCATAGAGATAGATAGAATCCAATATATATATATATATATATATCCAAATGATAAAATTGACTAAATATAATATATCTAAAATTATATATAACTAAAATAATATAATATTATTAATACAAATTATACATACAAACTATAAGTTGATATAAAGTTTAAAGTAAATATCAATCAACTATGATAATATATTTACTTCTTAAATATTTATGTCCGTGCATGAGCACAGGAAAATCACCTAGTTTTACTGTAGTTGTTAACTTGAATTGAATGGTGCCTTATAACAATCGTGTGTCTATATTTTACTGTAGTTGTTAACTTGAATTGAATGGTGCCTTATAACAATCGTGGGCATGGTAGACACGTGAGAATCATAAACCAATTTTATTCCCTCCGAGGAAAACTTTATCCTGACCGTCCATAATATTTCGCAACAGAGGATCCGAATCGTCCATCGTATCATTTCTGTTGCAGAATCATTTTATCGATATTATCCAAAACTATAATCTGAACCGTACAATTAGTAACGCGTCGAGATCGGACGGTAGCCATCATCATTACTTTTTATTTGGAATATATGACTCTTAACTGAAAAAACCTTACTCCCATACGAAACCCTAGCTCTCTCCCGTTTCTCACGGTCAAAAAGGAAAGCAAAATTGCTTTATTTTCCGCGAAATTGAACGAATAATTTTGTGGAAAAAAGACATTTTGATTGATTAGGGATCCGATTCGCAGTCTGATTCACCGAAACCCTAATTTTGATTTTGGGATTGTGGCGATTATAAAGGTCCTTTAAGGAGTCGATTTCGTCAGATAAAGTGATGCAGGTAAGCATGCAGATTTCTCTTTGTTGTTAGATTTTGCTTGATTCTGGAGGAAATTGTTTGAATTTGAATGCATGATCGGTATTTTGGGGAAACTTGTTGTAATTTTATCTATTTTGGGTAATTTTGTAATTCTGGGTTTCGTTTTGATATCACAGATCTGAAGGATGTGTCTATGTTTATGTGATGGCATTTGAGACTTTGGGGATTTTGATTCTGGGTTTTCGTTCGAGTTATCTTTCATGGAAAATAGTCTAGGGAGCTCTAATGGAGTGGGAGTTCCTAAGAAATCGAGGTCTTTGGATCTTAAGACGCTTTATAAGTCCAGCATTGTCAACGATTCTGTGAATAAGAGCTTAAAGAGGAAAAATAGTCCTGATGGGTTGAAGCAGGAGAAGAAGATTAGGAAAGTTGTTTCTCTTAGTAGCTTTAAGCAAGTTGATAGCGAAGATGATAAGTTACTTGATAATGCATGTAATGGCACCACGATTTTGGATGAGAAGTTGTGTGATGGTAATGGGCTTGAGGGGGTTTCAGTTGGTTTGGCAGGTAGTATGATTTATGTGCCTAGACGTAGGAGGGATTTTGTTGGGAGGAGTAGGTTTGAGAATGGCCTTGTACAGAAGTCTGCAGGGGAATCTGATAGTCAAGAGGAGCTACTTGATAAGCTCCTAAAGGAAGCTGGTGAAGAAACTAGTGCTCAGGATCATCTCTCTAAAGCTGAAGAGGAAGACTGTTTCAAAGAAATAAAAGAATCTAATTCAGTAGAGCAGCTGCAGTTGGAAAACGGGCATTCTGATCCTTCTCCAGTGAAAGATTACCAGCTGGTTGTTAAGCAAAAGCCCTGTAATAGCAGGAAGTCCTCAGCATCAAACAGACGTGCGGGAAACAACGAGGCGAAGTCTTCATCTGGTAGAATATCTAAGGTGTCACAAGAAGATGACGAGGAGAATCTTGAAGTTAATGCAGCAAGAATGCTGTCTTCGCGCTTTGATCCGAATTGCACCCACTTTCCTTCAAATCCTGTTACTCCTGGTTCACCGTCTACCAGTAGATTGAACCCGTTATCTTCTGGTAAGAATTCAGCTGATGCTCAGTCTGAGTTGTTTAGCTCCAAGTGTGTCTCAGACGACCCTGATGATAGATTGTTGCGACCAAGGTCACAGCTTGATGGGAAGAGGGAAGTTCGGAAAAGGCGCCACTTTTATGAAATATCATTTTCAGATGTGGATTCACACTGGTTGTTACACAAACAAATAAAAGTTTTGTGGCCTTTGGATGAGAATTGGTATCATGGCTTTGTGGATGGTTACAATGGAGACAATAATCTGCATCATGTAAGATATGATGATCGCGATGAAGAGTGGATCAATTTACAGGGTGAAAGATTCAAAATTCTGTTGTTCGCAACTGAAGTTCCTGGAAAAAATCTACGGAAAGGGAGCAATTCAGAGTCCAAATCTACTCCGAATATAACTGAGAATGATAAATCCAGTAAAGACGTGAAGAAGCAGAAGGTAGAGCTAGAAGATGATTGCTGCATGGGCGACATGGAATCAGAGCCCATCATCAAATGGTTGGCTCGGTCTATGCAACGGGACAAGTCTTCCACTCTTAAGGCTGTACGAAGACGAAAAAAGCCAGAAATAATGACATCTGATAAACCTCTGAAAATGAATGGGGATGTTGTTAGAGACACAGATAGATCTGCTAGTTCTCTTCCATCATGTGGATTACCTGGACCTAGTGTGAATGAGTCCTTGTTGGAAGGCTCTGGATGTTGTAAGGGTAGCATATATCCTCTTGTCTATTATAGGAGACGGCTTCATACAGCAAGAAAAGGAATCTACAAGGGGTCAGGTGACCATAATGTTGAGCTGCCACATGTCTCAAAATATCCGGATCCTGATGTAGAATTTTTGCCTTTCGAAGGTTCTGGGTTTCTGGAGATTTATTGTCCGTGGAATGACATAGTGCCATTTGAGTTGTCCCTTAGCCTACAGGCTGTTTCGTTGATGAACTACTGTTTTCTGGCGGATGTTGTCTGGCTTTCACGTGTTGCTCTTTTGCTTCATCATGGTACACTTGTGACTTTGTGGCCACGGGTTTGTTTGGAAATGATTTTCCTGAGTAACCAAGACGGGTTAAGGTATCTAATTTTTGAAGGCTGCATGATGGAAGCCGTTCAGTTGATTTTCCATATCTTGACGGTAGTAGATCATTCTAATAAGCAAGGAGTACAAGGAGCGGATGCTGACTTGAATTCGCCAGTTTTCTCAATTGGTCTCCAAGTTTCTTTCATCCCAGGCTTCCAAAGGCAATTTGCATTTCAGTTCTACAGTTTCCATGAAGTTAAACATTCGAAGTGGTCATACTTGGAACATAATTTCAGGAGGCATTCTTTGCTGGTTAAGCAAGTGTCAACTTCCGAGTGCACACCCGATAGCATGAAGGCACTGCAGAAGGTACAATGATTCTTTAATGCATGATTCTGGTACATTGTTTAATTGTCTTTCACTTTTATTTTGGCCTTTTGGGTATTTTACCACGTGTTTTTAATTCAAACATCAGGTTATGCAGAAGAGATCTGGCCATGGAATCAGTTCAGGCATTGTTTCTAGAAGATCGTCATCCGTTAAAGCCTGGCCCACATCTGCTTGCTACAAGAAGCAAAGTCCGCCCCCATTTGCACTTCATATTGCTTCACGACCACCTACACTGTTACTCAATTTACACCTGGAAATGGTGAGAGAGCTGGGTCATGATTCAGCTGAGTACATAGGAACTGAACGCAATTTAGTAACAGATGGAGGTTGTGATCTGGCAGATTGCACAAATGAACATTCTGAACCTTCTCTCAAGAGTGAGGGCCAAAATAACGGACCAACTATCACTCCTTGCAGAGAGCAGGAAGCGCAAGAGTCAGAAGACCTTCATGCACAGTCTCGAAGGTCTAATTCTGAAAACTGGATGTCATGCAGCTCTTCTGTTGCCAGACATAAGCACGAAACCAGGTCTAACGTTGCGATGAATGGCATTAATATTCAAGTTCCAATATCTGATCATTGTGAAGATGGTGCTCTGCAGTCAAGTAATCTGGCCTTGAATATTCAAGGTAGCACCCCAAGTCCCAAGGCCACTGCCCCAAGAAGTATGTGGCAACGAAGCAAAAGTTCTTTAAATGGCCCTCTCTCACATGGTTGGTTGGATTCAAAGGGAGACTTTTTGCACACTAAGTTGGGAAGTGGACCTAAGAAGCGACGTACCCAGGTGTCATATTCGTTACCTTCTGGGCGTTCAGATTCAAGAAACAAAGGTTCCGTGCACAAGGGGATCCCGAACAAAAGAATTAGAAGGTCTGCTACTGATGTTTCTGTACGTCGTCAGAAAGATTTGGAGTCTAGTTTCTGTGATGCCAATGTGTTAGTCACTCTTGGAGACCGAGGCTGGAGACAATATGGAGCTCAGATTTTCCTGGAACCCTTTGATAATAACGAATGGAAACTTGCGGTGAGAATATCAGGGACAACGAAATATTCACATAGGGCACATCAATTTCTGCAGCCTGGGTCGACAAATAGGTTTACACATGCTATGATGTGGAAAGGAGGAAAGGATTGGACCCTAGAATTCCCTGATAGGGGGCAGTGGTTTATTTTCAAAGAGATGCATGAAGAGTGCTACAATAGAAATACTCGGGCTGCTCTAGTTAGAAATATTCCTATTCCTGGCATCCGTATGATAGAAACAAACGGTTCTGATGGAACAGAAACTGAATTTGTCCGCAATTCTTCTAAATATTACCGGCAGACTGAAACTGATGTTGAGATGGCGTTGGATCCTTCACGTGTTTTGTATGACATGGACAGCGATGATGAGCAGTGCCTTGCGAGGATTCGTGAGTGTTCGGATGCTGAGAACAGTGCCTCTTGTGATATCAGTGAGGACATGTTTGAGAAGGCGATGGACATGTTTGAGAAGGCTTCATATGTAAAGCAGCGTGATCACTTTACCTCAATCGAAGTTCAAGAACTTTTGGCCGGAGTTGGATCCTTGGAGGCAATGGAAACAATATATGACTTTTGGAGAACAAAGAGGCAGAGGAAGGGAATGCCACTAATCAGGTATCTTCAGGTAATGATCTCTAATTCCTTTCCATCTTTTTTTTATTTTTATCTGATTTGCTTTTTTTGTTCTTACATGTTTGTCTTAAGATTTCAACACCCGCATTGCTAGGCGCTATATAGATTCTTATGTACATAGTTTATTAGTTTTACTCCCTTGTGGATTACTCTTAATTGTTGGTTCAACAATGATGAAGTTATTCTGCTGTAATATTATGTTTCTACAACAACACTTGCGCCTTATATAAACACTAGTTTTTCTACCTCTGCATTTCAGCCACCTCTGTGGGAAAAATATCAACGAGAGGTTAAAAATTGGGAGTTGGCTATGAGCAAAGCAAACCCTCCAAACTCAGCTAGTGAGAAGCCAGCGATGTTTGCTTTCTGTTTTAAGCCTCGAGGTTTGGAAGTCAAGCACAGGGGAACAAAACACCGGTCACATAAGAAACTGTCGGTTTATGCTCCACATAGTACTGCTGCGTTGGGAAACTACGATGCCTATAATTCATCTGGTAACTCTTTTACCTCTGCTTTGTTTTCTAAATCCTCTCTGGACTCTGTTTCTTCTTTATATGAGCTATCTTTAATCCAAAAATTTCATTTATTTAGCAGGAAGAAGATGTGTCGGTCTGGCATATTCAAACCACACCTACGAGCATTCAGAAGAATTCCTGAGTCATCCAGGGACATATTATTCTCCACGTGACCAAGGAGGCATGGGGTATTTCTCGAGAGGTGGAAATGGATGTCACCAAAACAAGTCTCAAAGAATCAACGGGAAAAGGAATATGAGTGAACGATGGAATGCAGGAGGAGGCTATTCTGAATCCCCCAGTTCCAATCTTGTTTCATGTCTTGATGCGGAAGAATTACATAGTAGTAGTAGTAGTATTAGAGATATTGATGAGTACAAACTGCGAGTTGCAGCTGGTGCTGCAAGGCGGGCATGCGCTATAGCCAAGGCCAAGCGAGAAAGAGCAGAGAGATTGAGTTACAAAGCAGATCTAGCGATTCAGAAAGCTGCAGCTGCTCTCATGTTTGCAGACTGTAGCATTGGGGATGGGGAGAAGGCACGGCAACGTAAATAAATCATTTTAAAAATAAATATTAAATTTATTACTGTGTTTTAGTTTTGATCAGTAGCTAGGGAACAAGGTTTGAATCGAATATCATGCTCTGCTATTGTAGCCATCCAGTTCAAATTATAACATATATCAAGAAGACAATTGAATCAATAACTTGTGTTACAAGCAAAAAAATCAATATCTTGTCTTACTAGAAAGATCATAATTAGAATGCAAGTAAAAAAGATGGTGCTGAAGCTCATTTTATTTATGGTGTATCCTCGTGATTTATAAAATCATATTATATAAGCTCGTTTATGAAATGGGAGAGAGAAGAAGAGAGACTTCAACGGCGGGAAAGCTTTCAAATCAGCAGATTTTGCGGAGAATCTCTCCTTCCTTTTGCTGGCTTCTCTATTTTTGTCATATCTGTAACCTGAGAGAGAGACAGAGAGAGATACGATTTTTCTCTCTTTCCACCTCAATTCTTGTCTTTTCTTTAGCTGTTTCATCTTTCTTTCTTCTGTAAGGGTTTTCTCTTCTCTTCTTTTTAAATTTTGCAATATCTTAGAGCACAAGGAAAGAAATAAAAAAAAAACTCAAGATTCTCGTCTTCTATATGCGTTTGTATCCAACAGATGAAACTATTAGGAAGAGTTTTGATTCTTTGTAACGTAAATAAGTTTCCAGAAACAATAATCTTACAACTTTTTTATCTCATAATATGCACCAGAGAATAACCTCAAAATGCTTTTGGCTTAAGATTGTTTCTCTGTTTCTTTCTCAGGTGATTTGGTAATTATTGGCATTGCTCTCTTTGATAGGATTTCTCATTTGAGATAAATTGATTTTCTTGCCACAACAATGGGGAGCAAGATTAAGGAAGACGAGCGAACTGAAAAGGCTATAAGGAGTTTGCTGAAGCTTCCGGAGAATCGAAGATGCATCAATTGCAACAGTCTGGTACACGTTTTTAGCAGAATAATAATCTCTGAGTCTAAAAATATAACATGCTTATCAAATTCAAATAAAAACATAAATGTCTCATAGTTATGTTATTAAGATTTTTTTTGGATATATGATTTGTGCAGGGTCCACAATATGTCTGCTCAACGTTCTGGACTTTTGTCTGCATCAACTGCAGTGGAATCCAGTAAGTCTTTTCTCTTGAGTTTCCTCATTTGAACTTGAAAACTGTTGTTCCATATCATGTGGTAAGACCTCTAATTTTCATTCTCTAGTCGAGAGTTTACACATCGAGTGAAATCTATATCAATGGCCAAGTTCACAACAGAAGAAGTTAATGCACTTCGCGCAGGAGGAAACGAGGTTTGTGTAATATGTTGAACCATTGTTACCTCTATCTTCTCATTATATTGTAAGCTTCCATAGTGATATGTTTTTTGCTTTGTGTTCTTTGCAGCGAGCCAGACAAAATTACTTCAAAGAATGGGATACTAAGCGTGATACTTACCCTGATGCCAGGTTCCTAGACATTTTTACTAATCTCACACTGAGTTAAAACACTAAGAGGAGTAGCATAACTTTATAGTTAAACCTCTTTTTTCTTCTTGTTCAGTAATATTTTCAAGCTCAGAGATTTTATCAGAAGTGTCTATGTGGACAAAAGATACTGTAATGAGAGCAAGGACAAGATGTCACAGGTACACTGCTTTCATCTTCCCAACTTAGCCAAATCTGAAGCTAATTTTGGGACAGTTTGTTATATTAGTATGCTCTAATGTTGAGGATGTGCATCTTTACACAGTGTTCATTTTCTCATAAATTTGTTGTGTTTCCACTCAGGGTGTGACTGAGGATAACAGGGAAAGCAAAAAGGCAAGTGAAAACTTCTTGGGATCTAGAAGCTTTCACTCTTTTGATAAAACTGAAACTGAAAGAGCTAGTGCTGTAGGGAAGACTGAAAAGAAATCTCTTAAGTTTTATTTTGAAGACATGGAACCTAAACAACAACAACAACAACATGTTACACTTAACCCAAAGTCTAGAGGTTTACCAAAGAGTCCTATCCGCTTTGAGATTGTTGATGATAGGTACAGAGATGATGGAAGTGTTAAGAGATATGATGCACGTAGAGAGCCAAGAGGAAGCTCCAAATCACTAGACCTATCTAATAACAAGGAAACTTCTGGTTTGCCCATTGTACGTCATGCCAGTGAACTCATAGGCGAGAATCATCCTCGTTTGCAGGTAGAAAAGGTTGTCAAAGTTGAGAAAAAGAAGGATCCAGTGAATAATCAGGTAAAGTGTAATCTACCAAACTTTATGTTGTGTATAAAGTGAAGATGTGAACCTTATCTTTTATGATTTTTGCAGTTGGTTGCATCATCTAATAAAATGGAGAGTCCTGGAAGTTTAATGGATGATGTACCAGCTTCAGAACCTTCTGATGAAAGCATCACTCAAACTTCTAATGAACTTCCTGCGTCTCAGAAGAAGACTGAGGGTCCAGCTCCTAATTCTTTGGAAGCTTTGTTGTTTGGATTCTCTGATCCTTCTGAGGAAAATCATCCTGCAGCCAACCTTGAGATCCAGGAGATGCCAAGAACACAAGACAGTGTTAACTCTTTTGTCACATCACCTACAGTTTCACAGGCCAGTTCTTTAGAGCTAGCGTGTCTTCCTGCTCCTGATGATAACTTAAATACAAAAGATATGGTTACAACAAGTGAAGCTGGAAACAACCAGGTTTGTGTCTGAGATAGTTTTTAGACATACATTAACAAAGGCAAACAATAACATCCCTAGAGTATCCAAATTTTACTATACTATAAGTTTTGTTCATGTGCTGACACAGGTGGAGTCATCTACACCAACTAAGGAATCATCAGATACCACTATGGAACAATCAGCACTAGCTATCTCAAATTATGCTCATGGAGATCATCAAGAAGAGACAAAATCAAGCGTAAGAAGTGCACTTCCTGAGGTAATAACAAACACTTTCCTTTTAGTTTTTGTTGGATACTCTTTTGGTATCTACAAACATAAGAGTCTTAAGACTCTTAACCATTGGCAGGATCTTTTCTCTGGAGGCTTCTCATTTGCTTCCCCACAAGTTCATGCTCAACATCATGGCATGGGATATGGCATGCAATATTATCAATATCCTGTGGTACTTTATTTGGCATAATTGATAAATTTGGATCCGATTAATAGATTTTGAACTGATCTAACATGTGATATCCCTTTCTTGGCAGGCTACTGGAGCCTTTCCATATACGGCAAAACCATCAAATCCCTTTGATCTTAGCTATGATGATGATACATGTTCACACCAAACACCACAAGTATGAGAAACCTACTTCATTCACATCATAACACTATATTTATTTAATGTCTCAAGATGCCACTATTCCAATGTTTTTATGTGTGACTTTTACAGTATCCTTCAATGGTATACACACAAGGAGGAGGCTTGCCTCTTGTGTCAGTTCCAAGAGGTGCTTCAGATTCTTCAAGCATGACTGCAGATTCTTTCGGACTAATGATGGCCTCTCAGTCGCCTTATTACGCACCAGCTTTATCTCCAACCTCTCCATCTCTTGCGTCAAATCTTCTCCCTGGTGAGACAAAATTTTATGTATTGCAACCAGTGTTTTCATGTTTTAATCGGAGAGTCTATTCTAATACTTGTTTCATGGGGAATATTAGGTGCATACGCAGGGGAGCAACCACATGTGAACATGTCCCAATCTTTCAGGTATATAACACTTTCTTAATCATTTTATGGTTCTTGAAACTTGAGTACACTTCTGTATATGACAAAAACAAAATTGATTTTGTGTGCAGAAGGCAAGAGATGAATAGCATGGGCAATGCAGAAACTACTTACAACGGTGCACACTCATATCACCAAGCAAACGTTAATGGATATCCTTCTGCAAACTCAAATGCTTATATTTCTAGAGGAAATCCATTTGACTGAGAAAGCTTAACGTCTGAGTTGCAAAAGAGTTGATTGGGAGATTTTTTTCATGGAAATTGAATGAGATATAACTGTTATGAATTGACCCATAATCTACAACGTCCCTTAATATTCTTTCAAAACTGTCCTTTTGGTCAAATGTATAATTAATGTGGGAGGATTTTAATTGTAAGTTGTAACTTGTATCCCTTCAAAAGATTATAAATTTTATGTAAAATTTTCCGGATTCTCAAGGGAACGCAAATACTTTAGCTGACAATATACAGAACTTGAGCATGATGAATCGACCAATGCCTCATGGTAAGGTTAAATGTTGTTTGCCCATATACTTTCAATAATGATTATGTCTTCTTTGTCTTGTCAAGATTTTCTTCCCTTTTTCAGTCATGCCTAAGCACATCAATATAACATCACAAAGTATCTATCTTCCTTGTGACCTCTATTAGTAGCGATTTGGAGGTTGTGCAGATCAATGATGTACAATGAAAATTATTGTTCTTTATTTTTTTCTTATATGGATCGTTTTCTCTTCAGTTGGGCCACGTATGGGCATTTTTCTTATTTAAAGATGTTCTTATTAAAAGTTTTTTTTATGTCCAAAAACAAATGAGTTCTTCACTGTCGGAACTCGCAATCTTCTTCTTGTTCACAAAATCGCTTCGATTCCATCACAAAATTTTGATTAGATTTATGGGTTCCTCCTCTCTGTTTTGGGTTTTTAGAGTTCATCTTCGAAAGTGAAATTGATTGAATTTAAAAGGGTAAATGAAAAGTTTTGTGATTTTTATTTCAATCTCTGAGATTTCTGAGTAGTTATTTGTGTTTTCGAATCTGTTGATTTTTCCAGTAGCTGAAAATTGAGGTCGATTTGAACTGAGGAGTCCAAACTTCCACAAGAAATTGATTTGGAAGATCATAATACCACCGGTAAGAAATTGATTTTTGGAACTTGATTTTTCCGATTGGTTTGTTTATTGTATGAATTTTCCATAGAAATTCCATGTTTTTGTGAAGCCCAATTTGAAAGAGGAGATATGTTTTGATATTTACATAGGCTAATGATATGTGTTGTTATATGTATCTAATTTGTCACTTTTAAAAATTCTCTGAAAGCTGGTAACCTCACAAATGGTTGTATATTGATTTTTATGTAGGAACACTTGCTTTAAACACCATGAGTGTCAAAACGCTTGAACTGAAAATGCATATGCACACGTTTCTGACTTGGAAATTGGATCCAAGAGTGTCTGCGCTTGTGGAATCCACATGTTTTCGGTGGGTTTTGAAATTCAAAAATGGTCTTTATTGGCAAGATAGTAGTCTTCTTAGTGTCCTTGCCTCGATGTATGATGAGAGTAAATAACATTTCATCATTGGGAATCCTAAGATGGATATTGATTTTGGTTTAGAAGACGTTTTATATATTACAGGTCTTACAGTTGACGGAGAACATGTATTTATTTTTTCTTTTACTTCAACATATCTTTAGTTTTAATTATTTGAATTATAATGCCCAATTTGAATACATGTTTCAGGATATGAGAGTTAAAACATCAAGGGTACAAGCATGGAGCATTTTAAGATAAATGAAGAGAAGGCTGAGTCATTAATGATGAACTCCGGTAATAGTATTGATCTCTCAAGATTGAAGTTTGAATTTGAGATGGTACCACAAGGGAAGAATATTGACTTAGATCCTTATTACAAGGCTTATCTCCTCTTTTTGTTGAGAGAAGTCATTCTCCCAAACAACAACAACTCTTATTCTCCCATGTACATACCACTGCTTGGATTGAATTTTGTCAACCACTATGCTTGGGGAGCAGTTATGTTGGAGAATATGAAAGAATCTCTAGAAAAAGTGAAGAAAGTTGGGAAATTCACAAGCTTATGTGTTTTTTTGTACGCTCTTACAGTAAAGTCTTTAAAAAACAAAAGGTAATTAATATGATTCATAATAAATCAATGATGTACATTAAAAATTATTGTTCTTTATCTTTTTCTTATAGGTATTTGCATTAGAGCGGTTTCCATGCCTTAGAGAAAGATGTGGATCATCACCTCTATAGTTTTCCGGATGGTAGTAGAGAATATATAGGTGATAATCCACATCTTTCTCTAAGGCATGGAAACCGCTCTAATGCAAATACCTATAAGAAAAAGATAAAGAACAATAATTGCCATTGTACATCATTGATTTATTATGAATCATATTAATACCTTTTGTTTTTTAAAGACCTTACTGTAAGAGATTCTTTCATATTCGCCAACATAGCTGCTCCCCAAGCATAGTGGTTGACAACATTCAATCCAAGCAGTGGTAGGTACATGGGAGAAGAAGAGTTGTTGTTGTTTGGGAGAATGACTTCTCTCAACAAAAAGAGGAAATAAGCCTTGAAATGAGGCTCTAAGTCAATATCTTCCTCTTGTGGTACCATCTCAAATTCAAACTTCAATCTTGAGAGATCAATATTGTTACTGAAGTTCATCATTAATGACAGTCTTCTCTTCATTTATCTTAAATTGTTCCATGATTGTACTCTTGATGTTTTGACTCTCATATCCTGAAACATGTATTCAAATTGGACATTAGAAATCGAATAACTAAAACTAAATATATGTTGAAGTAAAAGAAAAAATAAATACATGTTCTCCGTCAATTGGAAGACATGTAATATATAAAACGTCTTCTAGACCAAAATCAATATCCATCTTAGGATTCCTAATGACGAAATGATCTTTACTCTCATCATACATCGAGGCAAGGGCACTAAGAAGATTACTGTCTTGCCTATAAAGACCATTTTTGAATTTCAGAACCCACTGAAAACATGTGGATTCCACAAGCGCAGACACTCTTGGGTCCAATTTCCAAGCCAGAAACGTGTGCATGTGCATTTCCTGTTCAAGCGTTTTGACACTCATGGTGTTTAAAGCAAGTGTTCCTACATAAAAATCAATATACAATCATTCGTGAGGTTACCAGCTTTCAGAGAATTCTTAAAAGTGACAAATTAGATACAGATAACAACACATATCATTAGCCTATGTAAATATCAAAACATATCTCCTATTTCAAATTGGGTTTCACCAAAACATGGAATTTCTATGGAAAATGCATACAATAAACAAACCAATCAGAAAAATCAAGTTCCAAAAATCAATTTCTTACCGGTGGTATTATGATCTTCCAAATCAATTTCTTGTGGAAGCTTGGACTCCTCGGTTCAAATCGACTTCAATTTTCATTTTAGTTAATAAGTGTGCCATTGTCTCCCTCCTGGAAAGCCACCAATTTCTCTATTTTCGTGATTCTATGAGTTCATCAGACTCTAAGCTTTGTTTCATGTTTTCAGTTTTTTAAATCAATAGAAAACCAAAACAGAGGCAATCTTTATTTCCCAAATAAAGTCCTATTGTTCTTGCTCTGTTTACAAAGATTAGCAACAAATACATGCATGACGAGTGATATATCCTTAATTATTTCTGCTTAAAACGGAGCTAACCAAAACAAGTGTTCTGCATGAACTTTGATAAAGCCCAGTTACATTCTTCATGCATCAGTTGTCATCATGATTCTTTTTGATTTTGAAAAAAAAAGAATCAAAAGTAAAAAGTTTATTATACTAAACGTTTTGCTCACTGTGCTAACATAGGTAGAGTCGTCTACACCACCTAAGGAACCATTAGATACCTATATGGAAACAATCAACATTGTGAATCTCAAATTATGCTCATGAAGATCATCAAGAAGAGACAAAATCAAGCGTGAGAAGTGCACCTCATGAGGTAACAAACACTTTTCTTTTCGTTTATATCGGATACTCTTTTGGCATCTACAGGCATAAGAGTCTTAACCATTGACAGGACCTTTTCATTGGGGGCTTCTCATTTGCCACCCCGCATGTTCATGCTCAGCATCATGACATGGGATATTATCAAATATCCTATGGTATTTTATTTGGCATAATTGATAATTTGGATCTAATCTTTACCTGTGATATCCTTTACATACACGGCAAACCCATTAAATTCCTTTGATCTTAGCTATGATGATGATACATGTCCAAACCAAACACCACACAAGTATGAAACCTACTTCATTCAGATCATAAACATTACTTACTTTAATTTGATGTCTTAAGATGCCACTATGACTCATCTCAAGTCCATTGTTTGAAATTCCAACGCTTTTATGTGCGTCTTTCACAGTATCCTTCACTGGCATATGTACAAGGAGGAGGCTTGCATGCCTGACGTGTCAGTTTCAAGAGGTGTTTAAGATTCTTTAATCCCCGCTGCAGATTCCTTTGGACAAATGATGGCCTCTTACGAAACCGATTTTTCTCCAACTTCTCCATCTCTTGCATCCAATTTTTACTTATAAGTTATAACCCATTCAAAGATTATAAATTTTATGTAAATTATCGATAAAACTTGTTCCAACGCTCATAAGTTATAATCATTTAAATATCACAAGTTCATAAGAACAATATTTTGATATATAGTTAGTATATGTACTTTTTGTTGGTATGTTACATATTATTTTGGCTGTAAATAATAAAAAAATAGTTTTCAAAAAAAAAAAAAATTAATTTCGATAGAACCAAACTTGACCGGTTTACTACAAAACTTGATTGTCTGGTTTACTACAAAATTTCGATAGAACCAAACTTGACAACAAAACTTGATTGTCTGGTTTACTACAGAAGTGTGAATCTGTAAGAAGAAAAAAAAGAAAATAATTTATTCAGAAAATACTGTATCCAACTCTTCAACAACTCTCTTACGTTTTTATTCTTGTACCCTCCTATTTTGCTAAACTTTCATCAATTAGTGCTGTGAAATTTCTATCACAGACTTTCTTTCTTCTTCTACACAAAAAGAATATTTAATTGTCGTCTGAATCCGTGATTCACACCGACGACGCCGTTAACCATCGTCGCCTTCTCTCTCGTTCCCGCTTAGATCTGAGCTTCTGGGCTCATTCTCTCTTGATCAGATCATCCAAATCTGAAGACTTTCCTTCGATTTGCTCAAATCGGGTACGTATTTTTGCAACTGCTGATCAAAACTACGATTTTTGAGAAAAAAGTCTCTTCCTTTAGATTTTTTTCCCTTAAAGTTTTCCCCTTTAGGATCAGTATCATTCAAATCTGATGAATCTCCTTCCACTAGTATTGTTTTGTTGCGGTTGCTGATTTTGATCATTTGGATTTGTAGATTTTGTGGCAACACAGAGGAAAGTTTTGATTTTTTGTGTGGAGAGATTAGGATTTGATCTGGTAATCCAAGCATGGCTGCTCCTATTCCTCCAGGGGACATTAGACCCAACAACCAGCGAAATTCAGGGCCACCAAATTACTTCCCTGGCTCTCAAGGGAACGCTAATGCTTTAGCTGACAATATGCAGAACTTGAGCATGAACCGTCCACCTGGTTCAGGTCCTAGGCCACCTCCTCCTTTTGGTCAGTCACCACAACCTTATGGAGCTCCGCAACGTGGGCCTTCTCCGATGGCTCGGCCTGGACCTCCTCCTCCTGCTGGAATGGGGAGGCCTAGTGGTCCTCCTCCTGTAGGACAGCCTACTGGGTTTCAATCTAATGTACCATTGGGAAGACCCACTGGTCCACCTCCTGGCCAGCCACCGTTTGGATCTAGACCGTCGATGCCTGGAGGATCAGTGGGGCAGCCTGCCGCCTCTTCTAGTGGGTTTCCAGCTTTTGGTCCATCAGGTCCTCCTCCAGGGGCACGCCCAATGGGATTTGGTTCACCTCCACCTGTTGGATCTGGCATGTCTATGCCTCCTCCCTCAGGCATGCCTGGTGGTCCAGTCAGTAACGGGCCACCTCAGGTGGCTGGTTCAGGGGGATTTCCGAGGGGTCCCCAGTACCCTGGTGCTGCTGTTTCAACTCCACAGGCACCCTATGCACAGCCTCCTGCATCACCTTTTACTCGCCCTCCTCCGCAGCCACTTGGTGCTCATCCTCTGTCTGGTAATTCACCATTAACTCAGTCTGCGGCTCCTTCAATGACCCCACCAGCAACCTTTCCTGGAGCTCCTTATGGCAGGCCAGCGGTATCAGGCTTGCCTTACGGTCCACCATCAGGGCAGGTATGGCAGCATAAGTTTATGGTACATGGTCTTGTTATGTAACTTTTGTGAACCTTATGTATAGATTGATGGAAACATGTGATGTCGTGAGGTAATCACACGTTAACTATAATTTCTTTCAGACGGTTAATTTACTAGTTGACCGTGAAAGAGTTGGAGTGGCATTGTAGCTTGTGGCTCTCTATCTGAGACTAAAGCAAAATCTTTTGTCTTGATGTATTTCCTTTGTGTGTCAGACTCTGATGGTCTTCAAATTTATATGTTGGTAGGTCGCTCCACCTCCTCTAGGCTTTCCTGGCGCAATGCAACCACCAAGATATGGCATGGGTCCTTTGCCAAATCAGTCGATGACCACCATACCCTCTGCCATGGGTCAACCTGGTGCCGCTGTTCCTGGGCCCTCAAGGATTGATCCTAATCAAATCCCAAGGCCAGGTTCAAGCTCCGGCCCAGTTGTGTTTGAAACTCGCCATAGTAATCAGGCTAATCCTCCCCCGGTGTGTTTTCAGTTCAGACATTAGTCTGAGATGTCATATATTTCGTATGTACGTTTTGTTAAATTGTTTTATTTTTCCCCTGACTTTCTTTTATATTCTTTGAAGCCTGCTACTAGTGATTATATTGTAAAAGATACCGGAAATTGTAGCCCCCGTTACATGAGGTGCACGATCAATCAGGTAACAATGAAGCATTACATGAGGTGCATTCCATACTGTTCAATGTTCCTGGAAACTTGATTCATTTTCCCCATTTTCTGTAATAGATCCCATGTACGGTTGATCTTCTATCTACATCTGGAATGCAACTGGCGTTGATGGTCCAACCACTGGCGCTTCCTCATCCATCTGAAGAGCCTGTACAAGTAAGTCTCGTCTGACCAAACAAGGCGTGTAGGCATTTGTGTTTACAAGTATCATTATAGTTCATTGTGACGCCTAGAACTTTGTGTCTACG